AGATGTTTAGGAATTCTTAGTTTAAACTTCTGCAGACTTCCCTGTGGATAAATTCTGGTTTGAATGGCCTCTTGTAAATTAAGCTCTGCTTAATGTAGAGATGTGAAAAATGCCTGGATTCTAACTACAGTGTTTGGAGGTTTGAGGTAAGCCCTGGAGTTTGCCAAAGTGCAGTTCTTGCCTAGATACCCTAATTCATTGTCGTGTGGTGCTTTGGGATCCCTGGGTCTGTAATGCAGCCTAGTGAGCTGTGCTGCAGGGAAAGCAGCATTGCTTCTCACTGAGAAGACAATAATGACTCTTGAAATGCTTCCAAACAGTAGCCTTTGGTCCTTGCTGTGGAGGAATTGGGACGTTGGGTATGAGGAATGGATGGGGTTGTGCTGTGTTGTCAGCAGTTCTACATGGAGATGATTTATTTCGATGTACAGTCTCCCCATGCCATTTTAAGGCTAAACCAGTCATGTTACTGAATGTAGAGAATGAGGGAGGGATTGCTTTGTCCCATACTAATCCCAGGGCATCGGGGACTTGAAGTTTCAAGGGGTGCCCATGGAAAGAAATACCTAAGACTTTGTGGACCAGCTGGTAAGGGGTAAGCTGAACTGAGAGAATCAGTGTCTGTGTCCTAGTTCCTGTAAACTGTTGAACAGCTGCAGAAAAGAAACCTGTTGACCCCTGTGCTGAGAAGAGGTTTTGAGCCTCTGTGAATCCCGAAAGTACCTGGCTTGATGCCTGTGGGCAGGAAATGTAGTTGCTTGGACTTTCTGTTCTGGGGTTATATGATAGGCACGGGCTGTGCTGTCACCCTGCAGCCTCGCTGTCCAGGTTCTGCACTGCTGCCTTCAACACTTGGCTTCCTTGCCTGATGTCCCACACAGCTTCACTGTCAGTGCTCTGGGGTTGTCCATGTGGCACGTTGTGCACTTCCAGCTGGAACACAACGGAGCTGGGGGTGGGTGTGACTCAAACTGATGAACGTGTTTCATCTTCTGTGAGCCAGGGCACTGCTTTCCCCCCCGGTACCTCACAATGTTTTTGGAGTGCTGCGAGTCCCTCTTGCAGCAGGGATCAGACAGGCAGTTGTAAGTGGTTTCAGCCTCAGACTTGACTCTGGTATTGATTCAGGCCCGTGCATCTCTTAGATCCTGCTAGCAGAGCTTAGTTTGCAGCCTAAGAGGGGAAGGGCAGAAGGGCTGCACACATGGCACTGATTCCAGCAGGATATTGCTGGAAGGTTAGGTATGTGGCACGAGGCCTTGCCAATGTACAGCTGCTGTGCAGAAGTTAAAAAAGGGGCAGCTAATCTGCTCTGAAGTGGCTGTGAGCTTGGGTAATGGTGAAAATTCAGAGAGTGAAGGCAGACCAGCACTGTAATGTGCTACTGGTTTTCCAGGTTGTGGGTTTGACCTGCTGTATGGCGTGATGAGGAGAGCAAAAAAGGTCTGTGTGTGTGTCTTGGGTTTATTAATGTGTCTGTTTCAGTGGCTGAGATTCATCCTGGAACTTGGATATTGTAGTTCCTTCTTAATAATTCCCTTAGTTAATTGACCTTGAGATGATCTACTCAAGGACCAACAAACTGCTAAATGGTTTAACTTTTTTAACTCTCTGTTTGCAAGAAGCAGCTTTTGAAGGCATTGAGAGCTTTCCTGGAGGGTTCACTCTACACGTTCCCCAGCTGCATCTTTCCTGTTCCACTGAAGTGTTTCTGATCCTCTGGGTATGTCAAGTGGCAGCAAGATGTTGCCTTCTGGTGAGATTGTGGAAGGGGCAGGTCATATGTGCCCACAGTGCCCACGCAGGTCCAAATCTGTCCTTTTGGCATGAATAACAATAACGTTAAATCCGGGGCTTTATTTGGGTAATCCGATAAAGCCTGGTGTGTGTGGACACTGAACTGGATTTGCAAGAGGCACAGCTTTGTGTGTCAACACTCTGAGTGGGAGGGGACACCTGATGAGATTGCCTGGAAGGAGCAGTCGCCCACATCTGCAGCCAGGCTGTGATTGTGCAAGTGCCCTCCCGCTTGCTCCGGAGCCAGAGCAGTGCTGTGTGCCTGGGGAACCCTGCCAAGGGTGCTGTGTCACTCCAGGATGGCAGATACGTCCAGATGTTTGCCTACAAGGAACTCCAGTAAATCTGCTGCTTTACTGAGGTTCATTTCAGAACACAATCCTTGCTGCCGGGTGTACTCGAACACTAACTTGGTGTATGAATTCTTTTCTATAAGGACTTTCTGCTGTCCGTGTTTTCTCCAGAAAGGAATTTGCCTGTGACTCATGAGGTGCCTTCAGTCTTTGTCCCTCGATGTAGGGAAGTGGTTGCAAGTGCATGTGGCAGCACATTATCAGTGGGGGCAAACAGAATTTCCATGGACTGCACATTGCCACTGGGACATGTGCAGCATCCCCTGACTGAGCTCAGTAGGCAGGAGCAGGTTTGGGCTTTAGGCCAGAGGTGTGGCAAGGCTTCTGGTATGCATCTAGGAACATCCAAGAGCAAAGTGAGACATGTGGCTTATCTTCAGCTGGACTGTGTTTTGTGGGATAAGTGTAGCAACACTTTTGTGTTAAAATGGAGAAGAATGGCTGCTAATGGTTTTGCAGTTTTTGGTAAGAAGCAAGACAAGAATGGCTCTTAGAGCTTGACGTGGAAGAGATTTCTTGATGCAGGTAAGACCTTGGTTGGTGCTGGGGAGCAGTGTGCTGTATAGTAGGACTGCTGGCAAATCCCCCTGTGTATTTAAGATAGGAGAATGGTTTTTGAGCTTATGGTCATTAAGGTGGAGGGGAAGGATACAGTATTGTAACCAGTACTTGTTCAGTGGCATGTGCTCTTATGTTGTTTGGATTAGGCTGTCTTCAAACTTTCCAAAAATGCCAAACAATCCTCAGTCTAGACTGTTTTTGAAAGAATCCTTGGCCTCATGGGAATCTCCATTTCAAGGTGCAAAACAGCACAGCAGAAGGCATATCAGTGGTTTTACTGTTGAGGAGGCTTTTATGCCAACACGACGTTCAGTGTTCTCTTAAATGTTGTTTTGGCATACCTGAGATACCCACGAAACAGGTTTGTCACAGAAATGGTGTCTGACCCGGGCTGTGGTGCCAAAGAGGTGTCAGTTGAAGTCCTGTCCTTGGCACAAAGCAGACAGAGCAGATGGCCCAGCAGGTGGCAGGGTGGCAGCAATGACAAAGTGACTTTGCAGGTCGTTCAGTGAACCCTCTTTTGCTTACGAGTCTGATAGAAGAGCTGGGCAGTCCAATTAATACTTGCCTAGATGCATTTATCTGGGGTGAACAACTCCATAACCAGCTTTTTCAAGCCAAGGATGGTATCACCAAAGAGTTGGAATTATCTGTAGGATGGTTTCAGTTTATGCTTTCATTGAATATCAGTAGTGTAATGGTGGGTGGCAATTGCTTTCTCATTACTTGTAAATTGATGTTTGCACACAGCAAATCTTGGCAAAGCCATCCAGCTTTCTCAAAAGGAGTGAGGACTTAAGCAGCAGCCAAAGAACAGTTGAACATACTTGAACTAAGACTGACCAGCCCTAGAAAAGACAGAAGCCCAGATACTGAGGACAGCAGCTATAACGTAACTGTCTTATATCTCTGCAGTTCTTGATCACTAAACTCTGAAAATGCAAGGCAGCTGCTCTTTTCTGCTCGTTCCTAAGTACATTGAGTGCATTTTGCTTAAGTGCAGATCTTTAGACTGTTTCTACAGGGCTTCTTCATCTCTATTTTTTAAGTTCTACTAACGTGTTTCAAACTTGGTTTCCTAATTGGAAACTTTCCATTGATGTCATGGGAGCTTTCTGTGGCCCACCTCAAATATCTTGGTTCACCAGGAATTAAGTGACTGTACAAATGTTTATGTTAAACACTTATTTAGAAGGTATGTTGACTTATGAGGACCTCTGATGACTGTGGTATGTTGGGAGGATGGCTTGACTGTACAGTTTTTGTCTTGCCTTTGAACTCTAAAAGTCCTGGCAGCTGTTTAATGCCTAGATAAGGACTCAGGCTTGCTTACAGCTCACGAACGTGTTTCATCACTGACTGTTGCACTGATTTCTTGTCTGTAACATTGGAGAGGTTTTTGAATGGGTAATCTTCATGGAAAAGGACCCAGATGGCAGAGTCTGGAATAGTCACATCAGAAAGCTGTTGGCTTAATTACAGGTATGGAATTGTGTTGTTTTAGAGAGGAAACCCACAGTTTAGTCTGCTGAGGAGCCCTAGGGAGGGAAGGAAGAACATGGAAGTTCTTCAGACTCTGCTTACTCAGGCTTCTGTGGCAGTGTCAGGGCATTTGGAAGGTGGAAACAGGAGGAATAAAAACCATCATAGCATTCCCTGTCACCACCAGACAGACCTCAGACACTGAGCAGTGGCCGTTTCTCCCCTTCCCTGCAGGAGATTGTGCTTTGAGGTGCAGCTTCATATTGGCACACAGGAGGTGAGGAAGCCACTTTAAATATTGCTTGATTTACAGAGTTTAAGCTAGTGAAACTGTTGCTTAGGAGTGAATTTCTGAGTGTCCCACCACGACTAAGGGGCCAATTTCACCCCTTGCCACTTGAACCAGTAGTGAAGCTACTGTGAACTGTGCTGTAGTACATGTCTTGGTCGTGTTTCTTTGGCAAAAACATTTGTTCTGTATTACCACAACTGCTATTTCCAGGAAAAAGTTGCTCTGGGATATCTGGCTACCTTACAGTGCAGATGTCCTCTGAAGACAGCATGTGCATTCTTGCAGCCACAGTCTGTATAATGTGTTTTTTATCCACTTCATTTTGGCGCTTTCAAGTCTGATTTGTCTCGTTGTGCTTTTATAGGGATAAAACTCCGGGCAGGCTAGGAAGGCTCTCTAAAATTGCTGTTGTGTGAAGCCTTTTGTTGGATGATGTCAGGAGCCAGCCAAAGCTTTTGGTCACCCTGCCTGTCCCAAAGCACCAGCACAATTTCCAGGGACCCTTTCAGGTAATGGTGAAAGCAAAACATTGCATCATGCTGGGACTGTACCCAGCTGCTGGATTCATGGAGATGTGCAGTGCCTCTTCCTAATTATGGTGTGTCCCGGGTCAATTATATTTAAACACAGAGTCCAACCATGTCATTAAACTTTTTTGGCTAATGACAAGTCAGAAATCCAGCGAAGCATCATCCCAGAATGCTCTCTGCTCTGGGGAGTTGCTGAGTGTGTTCCAGTAAAGCTGGCAGTGTGAGATTCTCTTGTGCAATCTGTCTGCCAGGAATATCCCCTTAGTTCAGCACTTTGGGAGCTGATGCCTCGTTGCTGGTGTGTGTTCCTGGCCGTGGAGGGCTCGCCTTACTGAGCACACCGGTGGAGTGGTTTGCTGAATGTTGACAAATGTCTCGGCACTAGTCTGTTCCATGTTTATCCAGCTCTTTCTTTGGGTTTTCCCTTCGTATAACCAGTGTTTGAGTTACACGGCTTCTGGCAGCTGCCTCAGGAATGAGAGGTGAACACATCTTTCTAGAGACTGGCGATGGGCTGGGTCAGGCAGAGTGCACTTTGTTGGCTTCTTGTTCCTTGATAGTTTCAAGCAGTTTAAAGGTTACATGAAGTGGCTTTCTCCACCTGCTATTCAGTGGAAGGATGGGAATCCTTCCCCATCCCCATCAGGAATTACAATTCTGACTTGATTCTCTGCAAGGAACAGACTGTACCAGGCAGGCAAGAAATGTCAGTGCTGTTTTCCATTCTCTACTGGCTGGATTGCAAGCCATTTGTGCCCAGACATTCTGGAGGTGTTCTGCCATGATGTGACTCTGCTTCCCTTTTTGCTAAGGGAGATCCATAGGAAACTGCTTTTCCTATGGACACTTGAGGGGGGGGAAGAAGGAATTGGAAGCTAAAGAGGGGATATTGTGGAATTGAGCAAGCCAAGGTGCTCGATGACCCTGGTATAGCAAGCTTGGATTTGTCTGGACACTTCGCCTCAACTGGCTGCTGCAGCAATTGGAGAGCAGAAATTGCATCTTCTGTCTGTGTTGTTGGATTTGGAAAGGGTTTTTCCACAGCTTTTGTTATGTTTAAGGGTGGTTGTTGTTCCCGGATTAGACTTGAATAGAAAACATAAGGCTGCTGCCAGCTTTCTGTCACAGGCACCTTTTATCTTGCATTCATCTCTTCCAAGCAGATGCTGCTTTCATTTCTCCTACTTTTTTGCTACAAGACTGATTAACAGCCCTTTGATGCAGGGGAAGAAACTGTATTTCAAAGCAAAGTACCTCCTTAACTTTGATAATAAAACTGTTGTTTTTATCTAGAAGGCAATCCTCTGTTCCTTTGAAACAAACCTGAGGGTTGGGAGCTCCTGAACCTCCAAGTGAATGTGCAGATCATTAGCTGGCAGCTCAGTGACTGTGCTGTTTGGGTGGGAGGTGTAGGTGAAGCTGAGCTGCTCGTGGTGAGGATGTACCTGGGGAAGAGGGTGACAGACACTGGTGCACAGCATTTCTGCAGATGTTTCCCTCCCAGCTGGTTACGAGCTGCAGTGTGTGGCTGATGGTGTCAAAAGAGCCAAGCACACAGCTCAAGGTGGGGCTCAGCAGGAGGAAGGAGCTGAGGGGAACAGGAGTCTGCAGACACTGCTTTGTGGTGGTGAAGCAATCTGTATCCTCTAGCCAGGCAGAACTGTTTTTCCCAATCCACCCTGCCCTCCCAAGCCTTCCTGCCTTCAAAGACTTGTGCTGAGCGTGAGGTTCGTGTCAGCATCCAGCTTTTGGCTTTCATCTTTTCCACTTTAAAAGATAAGCCCTGTTCCTGTAAGGTGTAATAATTCCAAAAGGGTGGTGGGAGGATTGTTTCCAAGGGGGATGTTGAAGCCTGCCTGTCCTCATGGGGAGGACAACTGGTGGATAAGACTGAGCCACAGCATTGCTCATGTGGCAGGTGACTTTGAGGAATGAAACATTCCTAAACTTGGGCTTGGCTGGTGGTCAGGGCATGGAAGAGATGTTGTTGTCATCATTTGGCACATTACAAGAACTATCTTAATGCAGCAGAGGAATGTTTGATGTGCAGATCACGGGTCCAAGATCTCATTTGAGAGTAGGGGCTAAGGGAAATACCTACTGAAACTACCAGACTTCCTGAGGGAGACCATGGAAGGCTGCTTTGCACACACGCAGGTGCTGGAGGCACTGAAGAGTCTGACAGGCTTGCAGGTTAGGAAACCTCAACTTGATTTCAAGAACCTGTCACAATTGTGTGATGAGCTCCTGCTTTGGATGCATGTACAGGGGTGTTGACTTTTGAAAACATCCTTTTAAGTGAACAGAATGGTTTCCTAAACAGTGTAAAAAAAAAAAAAAATCACTTCCTCAGTGACTCAGCTGTCTCCTCTTGTGAGGTTTTTGTCCTCTGTGGTGACACCCTCAGTCTCCACAGACCTCAGGACAGGAAAGACCTGAATCTGTAGCTTAAGCTGTGAAACATCTACTGGGTCTTCATACACAGGGATGTAACTTCGGTCCTGTTTTTTCAACACTTAAGAAGCCCAGGATGAAGAGATCTGGGTCAATATTGTGGAGGAGTGTTGAGTTTTTCCATGTGGCAAGGTAAGACAAAAGGGCACGTGAACTGGATCTGTTTGTGTTGCTTAGAGTAAATCACTGTGCAGGATGAAGGCACTAACAGCTGATACAAAGGCACTGAACTGCATTCCCTTGTCTAGGATTTATTTGACCTGAGCATTAACACAAAACTCAACCCGAAACTGGCAGATTAAGAAACTGGAATGACTTGAACAGGGAAGAAGATGTGTAAACCGTAAGTATAAGGAGGAGTCTTGTCACCACGGAGCTTGCCAAGCTTTGGAACAGGTTGCCCGGAGGTTGTACAGTCTGTTTTTGAAGGTTGGCAAGAGTAAACTGGTGAGCTAGAAAACAAAATTTGCTTCTGTTGTTCTTCCCAAGCCATCCTGCCCAAGGCCTTAGCAGCCATGTCCACCTAATGTCCACCTTCCCGACTCACTACTTGATGTTCAGTAAGACAAGGTATAAAACTACAGTTACTGCACTGCAGTGCTTCTGGGCTTGGCACTTAGTTTGTCTGTAGGATGTCAGCCCCTCTTTAAAGAGAGACATGACTATTGTGATAGGTGTCAGGAGCACAATGAGCTTTATCTCTTGACCTGGTGGTGAAAGGGTGGAGGGAAATGTACTGTACAGGCTGAGGCAGCTGCTGGTGACCAGGGGCTGCACACCCAGTGTTTGAGCTGGTACAAGGATAGAGCTTGAGGGGAAAGTTGTGCTTGTTACACTGCATCCTTCCCTGCCTTTTTTTCTGCTTTAAACTCTGCGTGGATTGGGTTGTGCTATAGCACTGGTTTTGTGTAGGAAAACAGTAGCTATGCAGAGTTCTTTAGCTGCATTCAGCCCCAGGGTTATGGAATGAATCTTCTTAAGTCTCGTGATTGGATTGTCGTAGTGTCTGATCAGGTGGAAAAGACTCAGTCAGGAAGCTCATTAGCTCCTGCCTGAGGGACTTGCTTGTTTCCTCCCTGAAAAATAGCAGCAGGCATGCCTGGCTGGATGGGAAACTCTCTGCATCCATCCTCCTGTCTGTGGTGGGATTGCTGGGACAGGAGAGGTCAACACAGTGACTAAACACAGACTGTAAGAGGGAGGATGAAAGGGATGTACTTGGCTGGAGCGCGATTGTTGAATGTGAGGAGGAGGATGCCAGCTGAGTTGCTGGGGATGCAAGTGTAAATAAACTGTAAAACTGGAGGAGAAAGAAAATGTAACTTTTGCTTCCTTAAATGTCAGGGACAAGGCAGGTTTCTGTGAGGAGGAACTGAACAGTGTTCTGCTGGGGGTTGGAGTTTCCTCCTTGGGAGCAGGCAGTTTGTGGGCATCCTCCGTGGGCCTGTTGTTCACCTTGCCCTTTTGCTCTCCCTGTGATGCAAGGATGAGAAGTGTGCAGCACTCTGATCTTCTGCTCTACAAAGTGTCTTCTCCTGCCCTCTGTGGTAGGCTGGTGGTGGTGTTGCTGCCCATCTCCACGGGGGAAATGCAGACCCAGGGCAGTGGTGTGCTGAAGCTTGCCAAGCTGAGTGGCAGTGAAGCAGGGAGGGAGCACAACTTCACTTCTGCACCACGAGGCCCGGATTTTGGTGAATGTGCTGCCCTGTCCTCTGAGTCAGAACAGCATCCAGTCTGTGGTCCTGTAATGCTCTGCTTGGAGGGAGCAGAGACACTATTGCAGTCGGGCCAGGAATTATCTGTTTCTAGTACACGGCCCAGATTTCAATTACCCTTTTTCCGTAGTGATGAGCAGCACCAGACACTTGCACAACTTCCCCTCTGGCAGAGATGTATTTGATGTAGATACATGTGCTGAAGCTTCAGACACAATAAACGTATTTGAGGGTAACAGGCTGAGTAATCTGGTGCTTGGCAGCTGCTCTGTTGTGGGGATTTTTGCTTTACTGTTAGTAGTGCTTGTGACATCTTTAAATGAAAAGAGGAAGGAGACAGGAGCTGAGCAACCTTAATATTAAAATAGCTCCAACTACAAGTGGTTTTCCTGACAGAAGGAATCCTGCTGAATTCAGTCTGTCTCCTGACAGAGTATTCTGTATTGCTCTGAGGAACAGGGATTGAAATCCTCACAATCTGCTGCGTGCTTTATATTTTCAAGGCATCTATTTGCAGGTCTATAATACCCACATCAGTGATTTGAATACAGTAAGGGCTCAGTTTATGTTCTCATGCAGGTATTAGTACTTGGTGTGTACTAGGTGACTTCATTCAGCTCTTGCTGGGCTCTCTGTGTTCATGGAGGTGTTGTGTTTGCCTCATTCTGCCCACTGAAAGGAGCAGAACAGCTATCCTAGAAAAAAAACTAGGACTACTAAACTAGCACTTCCAGCAGTTGGGATGCCATGGTTTTACTCTTCAGCCTCTGACAAACCCAACCATGTTGCTTCCCCCATTTCTTCAAACACAAAGCCTATGAGAAAGGCCTTCTGCAGATTTGCTTCTAGGCACAGGACAGCTGAAATGGAGGCTGACCTGCCACGAGGTGGGAGAAAACAGCACAGGAGGCAGCTGGAAAGTCTCTTTGTTCTGCCCTGCTGTCACCTAGGAAGGAGACAGAAGGGGAGTTTTGGTAGGTGACTGCTGAGAACATGGATTTCTTTTAATGCAGCTGCTGCCAGTGTGAAACCACAGTGATTCATGAACTGTTTTTAGGGGAAAGCAGTGCTTTGTTACCAAAACCTTTGTCCTGATGGCTTGTGGTGTTGGCTGATCTCACAGTTGTAGCCAAAAAAGTGCTTTTGATACCAGAGTGGAAACTCTGGGCAGAGGCAGAAACATCAAGCTTCATTCCTTCCACCCACTGCTCCCCCTCCCATCTCCTGATTATCAGACAAAACTAATGAATCCAGAGATGAGGGGTGGACAGTGGGCAGTGTAGGCTGCAAATTAATAAGTAGGGAAATAATGAAAAGCAGGGAGTTCTTGTGCAAGAGGGTGGCTTGTTATGGATTATGTGGAGTTCTTTAATGCAAATAGTTCTGAACATAAACACTTACTATTTAAAATTTATGGTGGCTTAATTGCAGAGGAAATGCCTTTCTAAATGCAGCCTATCAAATGGCTCCAGTGCTGGAGGGAAGAAGGGAAAAACCTTAGGCAAGCATGGCAACTTGGCCAGGTCTTTTGAGTGCTGCTTGGTTATTAGACTGGGGGGGTTCTTATTTGTAATGTGCCAAGCAGAGATTTCAGCCTTATGGGGTTGTGAGGCTTCCTCTGGAAGCAATGCTTGTTTACATGCAAAGTCTTGATAAAATATGGAAAAATCAGGTGAAGGTAGTTGGACAGGTACAAAGGTGTAAGAAAGGTGAGCCTCTGGACACGTGGAAAAAAGGTTGCACGTGACCTTCCTCTTTGCTACTTAAGTGACTTATTTCCTGTGGCACTCAGTCTGCAGGCAGATCATAGAGGCATCTCTTGAGTGCATGTAGCAAAATAGGAACTGTGAAAAAGCTGTGCCTTTTGCAGGTGACCTTTGCAGTTGGTGTATCTGTGCTGGCCTAGCTTTTTTTTCCTCCTTGGAATAAGCTCCCCCAAGACACCAGGGCTCTTTCTTCTGATGGCAAAGACTGCACTGAAGCAACCTGGGAGCAGCCTTTCATAGTTGTATCAAATAGTCTTCATTTCAGTACAAAACAAGCTGCATTCCCAAAAAATGGGTTCTTGACAGAAGCAATGAAGAAAAGCATCACCTGTCTGATGGATCTAGCATGGAAATGGTACCAGGAGCTAAAAAAAAATGCCTCTGCCAAATGTGACCAGTGAGAGGAGAACCTGGTCTGAGGGAAGTACATCTTACCTGGTCTGGAAGATGTTTGATCTGGTGCTGCTGTGTTCCCTAAATGGGTGTGTGCTGCAGCCTGCAGAGAACCTGCCACGCTGGTGGAACATGTAGCTGGAGTGTTAGAGCCTCAAAGCTGCCCAAACCAGTGCCTCAGCTGTAAACAGCTTGTCCTCCAGAATGGCTGTGCTGTGATGGTGTGCTCAGCTCTTTGAGTGGGGATAGGGCTCTACATAAGGGCACAGGAATGGCAACAACTTACTAGTTTTTCTCCAGGCTCTGCAGTGGCTGCATTGCTGTGTGCCCCTGCTGTCACATCTCCCTGTACCTTCCCCCAGGAAGGGAACAGTGTGGATCTTTGTCTTCCTGTAACACCACGTACAGGTGTTGTCTCAGCTCAGACCTAACTGCCAAACCACAGCTGTTCTGCTCTTTCCTCCAAAAGAATCTATCTGGGGTTCAGATCTGTGGCACAAAGCTGAACCTGACACATCTGATGAGCAGCAGCAGCAGCAGCGTGTCCCCACTGTAACCTGTCCACAGCTTTGGCACTGGAAACAAGGGATGTCTGCAATTCATTGTATGGCTGATAACTTGGGAGCCCAAGTCAGTGGTTACCCTGTGAGGTGACTTGACTGACACCAGAGTATGTGACAATCAGCCTTGTGGCACCAAGTGTGATTTGGATGCTGAATTCTACCTGGAACCCAAGTTCATCAAGTCAACCTTCTAGGTAACAGCTGCCTGTAAACACTTGCTGGAATACAGAGTTTAAAGTTGCTTCTGGAAAACAGCACTTCACCAGTTGGCTACAAGCAGATATTCTAGACCAGCAGGAAGTTGGAGAGGAGCAAAGGGGAGAGGTGTAGGGAAGGTCAGTGCTGCAGCTGCAGATGTGGGACATGGGAAGGGACTCTGGCTAAACTTCTCAGTGCTTCGCTGAGATGCAGAGCTGTCAGTTCAATGTGGGATGATGAACTCAGGGCCCTATCCTGCCCGATGGAGGAAAAGCTTTAGTTGCTGGATTTGTGGCCAGTTCATCAGCTCCTACTCGCTGTGAGTACTTTACCATGGCTTCTCTCAGGCCATGGCCAATTTAGCAGCCCTTCTTGTGCTGTGTAATGCTGCTGCTCACTCTGCAGTGCAGGTGTTTGTGTGCCTGCATGGAAGGGTTCTGCAGTGTTAAGAATGTGTGTTCAGGGTAAATTTCTGTTGTACAACTGCAGCAAATTGCTTAATTCCTTTTAACATCTGTGTGTGTTCCACTACCAGTAAATGAACCGTTTCTGGCCAGTCTTATTGTCTTGACTTGCTTTGTAAAGGCCACAGACCATGAGTAAGTGTGGAAAGGAAGTGGACACACCAGACAGGATAAGAAGCAACTGTGCTGTTGGTAATGCAGAGGTCTGGACTCAGCAGTAGTAATTGTTTAACCTGCATAGCTTCCTAGTGCTGCTGTCCTCAGAATACCCAGGACAAAGCGTCCCCAAGGTAGTTTTGGAAAAGGTACAAAAGAACTGCTTTAGAGTACTGGTCTAAGTGGGTTGACCATGGGGAGCTGAACTAACAGTGCTTCGTGCCAAGAACTTAATGGCTGCAGGCAAAAGGCTGCAATCTGCCTCTGAGAAGCTATTTTAAAGAGTCTTGATTTGTGCCTGGTCTCTAGCATGCAGCTGACATTCATAAGCTGCCTTACACAGAGCTATAAGGAGCCTAATGACCTTTACACATCCCCTGAGCTTCCTCTGTGAGGAAAACCAGCCTGAGTTGGCTTTTTTCATTGGAGGGAGTACCTTAGTTTCTCTGAACCAAAATTGCCATTTATAATTATCCTTCAATAGGAGAGAAGATCTCAGGCAGGAACTCGTGGAACTCCTCTGAGTTGCTTCCATCATTACAAGTACTTTGAAAAGTAACCTCTCCTGTTGTTTAGTGGTATTTTCTGCTAGATTATGCAGCACTGCAGTTAGCAGGAACTGCCTGGGTAGGTGGACAGGTGGAAATTTGCTTAAGTTGGTTTTTAGTAAGTGGCTTAGTTGAGGATGGGTCATGGTTGTTACTTCAGGTTTTAGTTTACTCAGATGTGCTCCTCTGAGTAACTTCAGTGCTTTGTTTTGGAGAACCAGACACTAGAGAAATGGTGTAAAAGGGCACATTGCTTTCGTCACACTGCCTTCAGCACAGCAAAAATAGCTAGAGAACTTCAGCAGAAACTGTCTGAATCATCCCAAGGAGAGGAAGGATGGAGAGCTGGGTTCACACAGACAAGCTGATTCTTAGTGGTTACAAGTCCTAGCAGTGCTCTATGATGACATGCTCTTGGCTTCCTTGGGCAGAAGCCTTTTCTAGTGTGTCTGGGGGTGGGCATGCTTGTACTGGCTGCCTCATGTATGGGAGAGCAGAGCCCTTGGTGCCTGCTCAGTGGGTGAGTGAGGCTGTTTGCTCAGCAAGGTGGTTGCTAACTTTGTAGTCCAGGCAAGTCAAGCGTTGCCAAATCAAAGAGACTTGTTCTCCCCATCCGTGGCGTATCTTGAGCACAGTAACTTGTCGGGCCTCTTACTCTGCTGCACCTTTGTGCTGTTTGCTGGGACATGGGCCACCTTTCTTCACTCTTGCTTGCCCAACCTGCTGTGAGCTCAGTGACTGCAGTTTCACTTTTCTGTGGAGGCCGCACAGCCCTGCCAACACCTCAACCTGCTGAGCCCGACTGCTCCTGCTCCTCAGGAGGTGTGGCTGAGGAAGTTGCCCCTGTGGCAACCTTCTCCACGTGGGGCAGGGCAGCAGTGAGGCTGCCAAAGCCAGTGCTATGCAACGAGGGCCGCCTGCCCAGTCCTGATCTCAGCAAACTTGCAACACTCAGACGCGCTCTAATCATGTTGTTGGTGCAGTTGTTCCTGTCATCTGTCCTGCAGCTGCTTGGGCTCTGCTAACACAGCACGGGAAAACTTCTTCAACAGCATAGGTGAGCTTTTTTCCCCCAAGGTTTAATCAGTGTTTAATGGGGTGAGAAGGGTGTTAGAGGCTGGTGAAGTGATTGCATCAGTGCTGGACGGGGTGTCACAGCCTTCCTGGGACCAGGTTCTGCCCTGGGCAGAAATACACAGTGCAAGAAGGCTGCTGTGTTTCTGATGCCAAAAATTAACAGCAAGCAGGGAAAATCAAGTGTCCTGGTTGTTTGGGGGTAAAGTTTGAATGCTGTTAGAGGCATGTGAGTCTTCATCCCTCTTCACGCTGGTTAAGATGTGTTGTAGCATTGCTGATCCATCTTGGCTTTTAACTTGGGGATGCAGAAGGTCTGCACAGTCAAGGGGTCTGTTCTCAGCCCCACCAAGGGAGGAAGGGGATATAACTTTCTTTCTAAGGAAGGGTCTTTGTGGGCAGTTGCTGACATACTAGTTGTGCACATATCTACCTTCTAGCAGGTTAGTCAGCAAACCAGGAGCAGTGTGGCTCCTTTGTCTGTTGGCTTGCAGGATGAACATTCAGCCCAAGAAAATGAACCAGGTTTACTTCATGCTTTTCTAGTAAAATCATGGGAACATGAGCAAAACTGCAGTGGTATTTTTGGTCTCATTTGTTAGTACTGTCTGGGATCCTTTAGTTCAACTTCTAAAGCTGTAAGCAAGTAAATCACTATGGCTAGAATATCTCTTCTTTCCTTCTTCTGAGGTGTGTTCCAGGCTGGAAATCTTTAGGGTAGGGCTCTGATTCATTGTCTGTAGAGCACCCAGAGCCTGTTGGGTGTTAAAAGGTTTGGCCTTTTATCTATAGAAGTACACTTGATATCATGTGGAGGAAATGAAGCCACAGTAAACTGACTTGAATAAATAGACTTAAAGTAAGACTGGATCAGGAATCAAGGAGTTTAAGATCCTTCAAGTGTTCTTGTTATTGATGCTCCAGACAGGTGTCCTGTAGGTGTTGCAGAGCAAAGAAGGACCCACGAGGAGCCTTGGGTTTTCTGAGCTGAAAACACCAACTCTGCTCTGTCATATACAAGATTTTCCTCGAAGACTTGTGTTCTCCCTGTCTAACAGCAGGGACTTGCATTGAGATGTCTGTCTCCTGCCTTGATCTGTTTTCAGCAAGCAGTTGTTTTGAAATCTGGCATATCTTTCTTGTATGGCAAACTGCCTGCTTGCTCTGAACACTGAAATCGAGGGGAGGTCTAATTCTCACTGGAATAGCAGTGAATGCTTTTCTCTGAGACACTCTTATAATTTCATTCCAAAGCTTTTAAGCCCAGAAGGTTAACAATAGAACTGAAAAAAAGCATGGGGAGCAGAACTGAGCATCATGGGGATGAGCTTGTGTTTGTGAAGCAGAGCAGAGTTGCAGCAAGCCTGAGCTGTTGATAAGAGAGATAAAAGCACTTTCAGTGTTTAGATTTGTACTTAAACCTGTAGCAGTTCAAAGGTTTTGAAGCAGCCCATTCCCTAGCATATCTTCTCATTTATGGCTGGCTGTGTCTCACATCAAGCTGCCCAGGGCATTAATCCATTAATTTAAGAGGATAAGATCTTCTGTATCTCTCCTGCTGCAGGAAAGTGCCTGTATTGTCTTGTGCGTGAAGAGGCTTTTCCTTTTAAAAAATGGGGGTGTAACTGTGCTTCCTGACTGCAGGGCAAGGTGCCACTCTGCAGTTCTAGACCAGGCTAGTGCCAGGAACAGCAGCGGAGCCAGCTGTGAGCCAGAGTTATTGCCTTGCCCTAATAAGGAGCCATGTTGTGCTTAAATCTTGGCATATGGTGCTCAGTGTCTGACCTGCTCTCACTCTAATCAACCCCTTTGTTCCAAACCTTTTCCTTTCTTCCTCCTTTCCCTTTATTCTGGCCATTGTCTTTCATCTGGTGTTAACAGTCTGCCTGGGAAAGAGTCGTAACTAATGGAAGTGATGAGTGGTGCTTGTGTGCAGAAAAGCTGCTTCCTCTGCAGAGCCAGGCAGGCAGTGAAGGGTGTCCTGTCCCCTGTGCTTCACAAGTCCCTGTTGTCTTTCACTGGGGTGATTCCCTTTCTGGTGCAGCAGCCTCGAGAGAAATATGATGAAGCTTATGTTGGCAAAAGGCAAAAAGTCATAATGAACGAGGCATTGTCTTGCTAATGAAGAGCACAATTGTGTTATCTTCTCTTGAGTATTTTGTGCTTCAAAGAGGTCTGCACCAGTGCTCCTGCAGTCTGGCAGTCTGCTTTGTTTTGGTTCTTGCTTCCTATGCTGTGTTCTCACATGTACTGCACAGGAAGTCTCTGCCTCTCCTCCTTCTGCCAATGTTTTGTTCCTTTATCCTAATCAAAATGCCAACAGCTGAATTTGCCTATGGACTTCCATGTGTACTTTAGCCAGTCCCTTGTTGACAGCCTTTGCCCTTATGCCACAGGCCTGGGGAATGCCGGGTGGTTCACCCGGTGCTCTCTGTAGAACACCACATGTTCTGTGTGGAACACCACACGTTCAGCAGCCTGATGGGTTTGATCCCAGCCTGAGCAAATCACTTACACTGGAACGATTGCTTTGGGTCAGCACTGATGTGCCTTTCCCAGGGAAGCTCAGCTGATGTCTGGTTTGGCTTGTTCTTGGCATCCCTTGCTTTGAGCTTTTGCTGTTCCTTGGGCTTCCAGAGAGCAAGGCAGCCTGTGCCCTCTGGGGCTGGAAGTGCCTGTGAGTCATGGAAACACATGGGCCCAAGCACGAGCTGTGGGGCACAGCAACTAAATCATGTGGCATCCAGGGACTGCCATCCCTCCGCTGATTTTGCTGTTTCTTGCTTATCTTCAGCTGCTGACCAGCTGGCTCACACAGTTCAGGATTTGTTTTGATGTTGGGGATGGTATTTATTTAAGTTGCAGGATGTCTTGGTTATCTTAGCAGCTGATAACATGATTGGACCCTGTTTAAATGGCATCTTCTCTCTGTCAGTGCCAAACATCTGAGGTTCCTGAACAGTTTGAAATAGCTGTGCTTCAACCTGTGCTTTGGAGTGTGACTTTTAAAGAACCTCAGGCCTTTTCCTCTCCCATCCTTGACAAAAAGGAGGGAAGGGAAAGTCTTGTCTCTTTTTACTTAGAAATTATGAGATTTAGCTCACTGTTCCAATGGCATACCTCGGACTAGTGGTAAAAACCTGTAGGGAAGCTGCTGAATTGAACATACATGAGCCTTCCCTGTCACCTTCTAGCTGAAGCCTTGCTGCTGGTGTCCAGTAATCTTATTTTTAAACCAGATCTGATTCATGCTCTGTTTTCTATGCCAGATGAGGTTCTTGGTTGTGAGTAAGTGTTGTGACTGTAGCTGGCAGGAGTGCTGCATGATTGCCTCACTTCAGGAAATGTTAAAATAACACTTTTTTTTCTTAGAAAGCTCATTTGCTCCCCTCCCACTTCTAATTCTCCTAATAGCTGCCCCCAGTTTGGCAGCTGTCTTACAGAGGGTTGTTTGTGTTGCTGAGTGAGAGCAGAGACAGTTCAGTGGATGCAGTGCTGGAGGAGAGGTACACAAAGTGAGCTAGTATCTTTAGCCAAGCTGGCTTAAACGTTTTAGAGGTTTCTCTGAAATCTGGAAGGAAAACTGCTAAACTGTGAGAAGAATCTTGCTCCTCCCCCTGGACTCTGCGACTGAAGTGGGGGATTTTTTTCCTCTTGGAGAAGAGAAGCTGCCCCAACCGAAGCTGCTCATTTGAGACAAACCATCCAGCAGGTTTATCTGCTCCCTGGCTGCAGGAACTCGGTGGGGCCAAGAGTGCCAGGAGCTGCTGGAATGAGTGTCCCCCAGGGACGGACCCTGCAGGTTTTGTCTGCTGTGTTGGATTTGCAGTCAGGCCTCCAAGGTACTCAGCAAAGCTTCAGTGGGGTTGAAGAGAGTTCTCTCCTCAAACCTGTATCGATGGCTGCTGTGTGCTCTGCCAGGCTATCCGTGGGACCCTTCCTTGCTGGTGGAAAGGCAGGACAAGTTGTTGGGATAAACAGATGAATGCTGTGCTCTGTAAATGTGGCATACAAGGCTGTGTGTGCTAATGTTTAACTTGTCTCTTGTTTTTCTTTCCATCCATTAGGCAATACTGAGTGGTGCACATCTCGACAAAGTCTCCTAGCAACCTTTCCTGCGGGGCTGAATGACAGCAGAAGCTGCCAGGTGAACCCATGAGCCTGTAAGGAGGCGAAACCGGGACACACCATGGGTCAGAAGGTCACAGGTGGGATAAAGACTGTGGATATGAGGGACCCTGTGTACAGGCCGTTGAAACAGGAGCTCCAAGGACTTGACTACAGCAAACCCACACGGCTGGACTTGCTGCTGGACATGCCTCCCGTGTCCTACGAAGTGCAGTTGTTGCACTCGTGGAACAACGACGATCGCTCGCTGAACGTGTTCGTGAAGGAGGACGACAAACTCATATTTCACCGGCATCCGGTGGCCCAGAGCACAGACGCCATCAGGGGCAAGGTGGGGTACACCCGGGGGCTGCACGTGTGGCAGATCACGTGGGCCATGCGGCAGCGGGGCACCCACGCCGTGGTCGGGGTGGCCACGGCAGATGCCCCCCTGCACTCGGTGGGGTACACGACCCTGGTGGGGAACAACCACGAGTCGTGGGGCTGGGACCTCGGCCGCAACAGACTCTACCACGACGGCAAGAACCAGCCCAGCAAAACCTACCCTGCCTTCCTGGAACCAGATGAGACTTTCATTGTGCCCGACTCCTTCCTGGTGGTCCTGGACATGGATGATGGGACACTGAGCTTCATTGTGGACGGGCAGTACATGGGGGTTGCGTTCCGAGGACTCAAAGGGAAGAAGCTCTACCCGGTGGTGAGCGCGGTGTGGGGACACTGTGAGATACGGATGTGCTACTTGAATGGACTCGACCGTGAGTATAACTCCTGTATTTGTTCTGGCTGCACAGATCTGCTGCTTACTGGGACAGCCTGGGGAGGGGCTTCATCCTTCAGCTCCTGTCAGCAGGAGCGTTGCTGCATACAGCTCTGAATCTGTAATGGCTCACACAAGAAGTTTGGCTGTACACACCTACCCAGGCACCGCAGGGTTTGGGTGGGAGAGTGTGGTGGGGGAAGGTGATGCCACTTGCCTGACTAGAGATGGCAAACCTTTCTATATTTCTACCAAAGTATCAACAAATGTTCTTCTGACAGCTGCTTTATTTGCAATGTAATCCTGGTGTCTCGTTACAGAAAATGGTCTGAGACAGTCCCCTTCCTGAAATGGGTAATGGAGGGACTTTTAAAATCCCTTGCAGGCAAGAATGGGAAAATCTGTCCCTAGCTAAGAAAATGGGAATGTCTCGTCTTTCAAAAAAGTAGCTCAGTTCTCTGCTGCTTTCAGAGCAGGGTGTGCTCATTTGTAGCAAGGGGCTGGATATTGTAATCAGCCCAACTTGCATGCCAGGCCTTTTACTAACAGGCACATCAATCTCTAGCTAAGCTTAGTAATAAATGTGGCTGTCCAAATGTGCTAAAGTCTGTTATCTCTCATAGTCAGAAGTTCCCATGGGGCCAGACTGTGACTCAGTCCTCTGGGTAGGGTGGAGGAGAGAGGTGAAGGAAGTGGATTAAAATCTGGATTTATGTTTTTTAGTGAAATAAATTTGGCAGAATTGATATGAAGAATAGTTTTTCCCCTGCATTCCAGAACAGTGTCTGCACAAGGGCTGTAGCATATTGGGCTTCTTTATTTGTGCTTAAGAGGTGTCCTAATGCTGGGCCAGCAGTGGCAAACCCTGGCACTCCTGGCTTGAGGTACAACAGAGCTGCCACCAGGCACCAGAAGAACAGAGCTGTCAGAATAACCAGGAAAGCCCTGCAGAGGGATAGCAGCAAAATCCACAAGTGCTTTGAGAAATACATTTCATCTCAGCAAGACCAAATAGAGAGCTCTTGGCAGAGCATTTTCTTACCCAAAGAAAGAAGCCCAGACCCTTCTGCCCTGACAGTTTACAGAATGGCAGCAGCCCCAGGAACCAGGTTTTGCTGAAGGGTCAAAGGCAAAACCTGCAGCTCCTCTCAAAGCCAGCAAGTCTGTGGAATTGTTGGAGCAGAGCTGCACTTAGCAAGGAAATGGCCACCTCCAGGATTGGATTTGGTTGTAATGTGCTCTCGGCATAGGAGTGAATTGTGGGCACAGGGCCAGGAATGACGGGATGCTATTTTGGCACAGATAGAAAGAAGGTGTCTGGCTCTAACCACTTCTGAGCATTCAATAGCAACACTGTCCAGTGATTGTAGTGCCTGTGAATGGAAGGAGGTCGGATATGTGTGTGCTTTCTCTTTTGGTCTCCTGTCAGACTGGGTTATCAGCGCAAACTAGACGGGGATAAAGTTCTTGTTCTTAATCTCTGTGGAAGATCCTCTCCTTTTAAGGCCGTTAAACTGCAATGTATTTGTTATGTTAATGTCTATAGGCTTTGAAGGTCAGGCCCCTTGTCCCTTGGGATGCTGGCTAGACAATGCCTCTGTCCCAGCTATCTCCACACTGAGCGGGCGGAATTGGGACAGGCTTTGAATGCAGTGTGTTTGTACCCCAGTGGTTTAAGAATAAGCTACATTGGGAAGTGCCAAAGGAGTGCTGCCAGGAATAGGCCTCCCTGGCAGTGTCACAGCCAGAGCAGAGAGGTGCAGTCTGGCTGCAGGGACCTGTCCCTGTGGAAGAGGCAGCATGGACCCTGAACTGGGTCACGAGCAGGCAGGAGCAGGGCTTGCAGCCAGGCCTTCCCTGTGACACAGAACATGTGTGGTGAATGTGGGGCTTGGGAAGCAACAGCACTGCCCTGACACATCCGTGTGCTCCCCACCCAGCTGCCAGTGCAGGAGAGGTGTGCATGATTCCTCAGGAATAACTAACATGGAACTGCTAGGAAAAAAAAAAACAAACTCATTTCACTGCAGCTTCCCCTGGAAGGAGGTAATAGCTTGTGATCCACAGCAGGGAAGGAAAAGAGGGGAAATAGAGCATTGCTTCAGCTCTGACTGAACATGAGGAGGAGACAGACCAATTCAAGCCTGTGTTTCCTGACTTTGTTACCAAGTCTCTCCACAGCTAACAAACTCTCCTTCTCACAGACTTTTTTGCCAAAAGTTGGATAAAAGTTACTTTTCCCCCTTCTCATTGGAAGTGTTTTCTACTTGGAGCAGTGTGACTGTTAATTTTTTCCAAAGTAGAATCAGGAGTGACCTGATCAGAGGCTACTGGCAACACCTTTCTGTTTGAGATTTTCAGTGTTACCTTTGAACCTGGAAGGAAGGTACTTGTAACTACCTTACTGATGGAATGAATTCTGGTTAAAAAAATGCAGTAACACGATCGTGCTCAGGGAAAGTAAGCTTTGTCTGTCTCTCATCTGTTTCAAAAGCTGTATGAACAGTGAGATTAATTTTGCATGTAGTAGTAGAAGCTGGAGCTGTTGGTATCTCTCAAAGCTCCTGAAAACTGCAACTTCTTAGCCAAGCTCCTTCCATGTCTGTGGGTGCTTTTAGGTCTGTGTTCAGCCCAAGAGATCTGTCAAGGAAGCTTTCTAATGGTGCAGGCAGAGCCCCCAGGCTGTTAAGAAGGACATGCAGTTCTCTGCTTTGGGATGTCTTTTGTGTTTTCTCTTGGGGGGAGGAGAAACCCCTTAGGCTTGAGCAGCATTGTGTAAAGGTGAGCTTTGACACTCAGCAGCAGGAGCTGTGAGTAACTAATGTGTATCTTCCCCTCTGTGCAGCCTGATGTGTTTGTTAACTCTGGCTTTGACCTTAGTCCCCTCTAAGTTGTGAATGAGTCCTCAACAGCAAAGGGCCCCATATGCCATTCCTGAAAAACTAGTATTATCTTGTTGGGTGTTTTAAGTACAGGATGCAAAAAAAGATAGCCAAAGGCTTTTATCCTTCCCAGGTTTGTGACAGAGGAGGGAATCCTCCAGTGGAAAATGTCACCACAATACAAGTGGTGACATGAAGCTTTGACAGATGGTTTTGTTTTTCATGGGAACTATGTAATATAAATGCAGGGGGTTGACAGCTGTTATCCTATATATGAGACAAATCGTGGCACTTTCTGGGTGCCCAGACCATGTGATGCTCTCAGACTGCTGCAGTCTTTTCCTTCAGCGACTGCAGTATCCAAAAGCTTTTGGATACTGCAGTAAGAGGCACAAGCTGGAAGATGTGTTCTGTCTTGAATGGCATTGCAGAGGGGTAACTTCCATTTGAGGATTCTGGTGTTTTTTTGTTCACACATGTATGGCTTAAATAACGTACACAGGCATCGTGCTCTGCTGTTGTATTTGAGTTGAAGATGCTGATACGTGAATGCTGAAGGGTTTAGGTCCTGCAGACATGCCAGGCGTTCACCCTTCTTGCTCAGTCTCTTCTGGGGGATTTTTAGAACTAGCAAAATGAACGTGTGTCTTGTGTGTTGAGGTGTTAATGTCTCAGCTTCTCTTTCGCCAGCTGAACCACTGCCTTTGATGGACTTGTGTCGGCGAGCTGTGAGGCTGGCTCTGGGCAAGGAGAGACTGACTGAGATCCCCACACTGCCCCTGCCAGCCTCCCTCAAGAGTTACCTGCTCTACCAATGACCTTCGTGTCCGAGGACAGAGAGCTGGAACCAAGGCAACACTCGGAGCTGACCCACTGAGCAACGGGCTCTCCACCCTCGTGTCATCGCTACTGTTGGGACTCCTTGGCCAAAGTATTCCTGCCACTGCTTAAGCCTCCATGTGCCCTTATTGGCAAGCTCCCAAGTAATCCTTGTTTCACAACTGAGCATTTTGTTCTCTGAAAGTCACTTCCCCAGCACAATTACAAGAAGGGACACTCACAGAAGCTTTGTGCTTCCCTGCTTCTCCTGAGAAAAGCTGTGCTTTGTCCTTTGGGCACAAGGGCTTGGGAGTGAATGATTTGTCTGTACCAGCTAAAGGGAAGAACATAATTTGGGGAAAGGGAAGGCATTAGGGAAGGTTAAGACTGGGTCCTAAGAATGGAGAGGCACAAGATGTCCAGCAGAGTTGGAAAGAGTCCGGAATACCAAGAGGAATTAATTGCTGAGTTTTTAAAAACCAAAAAAAAAATTAAAAAAAAGTACAACCCCAAGCCCTGAAACACCAAAATTAAAACCCTTCCACCAGGACACTTGTTAATTTGGAGAAGGAGCTTGTGTTGCTGATGTCTGTATCTCTGCTGGAACTTCTCACCATGTTCTAGTGCTGTTTCACAGATCACAAATCCCATGTTCTTGTTTACCACTGTTGCTTTCTCCTGCTCCATTCTCTACTCTGCCTCTTCTTAGAGGGTTTGACTCAGTTGATTGAGCAGTCAGGTGTCTTCACCTGCCTTCTTCCTGACTTAAAACTGCAGGTTTTAGTCTGGGATCAGGGGGTCCTTGCTGATGTGGGGACAGGGAAGGGACAAACTTCTGCAGCAGGGTGCAGAAGATGGAGACCAGCTTTATGAGCTGAGAGCTGTTACTCAGCTACAGGCCCTGTCACCTTGGGTCTGTTTTCTAACCTGTTCCATGGTGAGGCTTTAGAGGAACATACTGATGTGTTTCTCTAATGGCTCTGCCAGGGAATTTCCTTCTTGGACAAGCTGCTTATATTCATCCAAACCAGGCTTCTTTCTGTCATAGACCATTGGCATAATCTCCACTTAACTATGCAGCAGGAATAGTTCTCCCTGTTTCTTGCTTGAGGGGGAGGAAGTTGTCCCAGAGAAGGTGGTACCGGTGTGGGCTGCAGAAGTACCATCAGCAGATGAGAAATCCAGGAGGTGATTGCTGCAGAATGTCACCTGTGAGACCTTGACAGAGGCCGGGGGGGTGATCTTCAGGCACAGCAAGAAGAAACTAAACCTCTCCAGAGCTGGGGGGCAGGAGAGAACTGCAATAAACAGGACAAGCAATTCAGGCAAAATCAGCACATCCCAAATAGATTCTCACCTCAGTAGCCGAGTAAAGAGGATGACACTCCTTTACTAGCAGGAGCTGCTCTCTTGACCTCTCCACAGGTTACTATGCTGCCTTTCTGGGGTTATTTTGCACATTTCTTTGTCTTGAAAAATGTTTGTGTGGTTGGTTTTTTTGCTCTTGAGTTATTCCTTCAGTTCTGTGTAGGTACAAATGAGTTTAGTTGTTGAAAATGTTAATATATATATTTGTGGTGTATGTATAAGAACATGTTTTAAACAGCTGCTGTAGGGTACCTTTTTTAAAATAAACTACTTGCATAGTATATTTTTTAAAGCACAGAATTGGTGCCAAGACTGGGTGGGGTGTGATGTGCCCCTTTTTTATTCTAATATTATATGATTTTGTTTTTTCAGCGTAGGGGTTTGTACTAGTTTCTGTTGCAGGGTGGGACACAAGAAAATTCAGTGTGTGTGGAGCCCTACTTGGTTGCCTTCAACTTGAACCAGTGTCTTCCAGAACTCCAGGGAAGTAGCTGTGTTCTCCCTACTTCTAATGCTCTTTGTGCTCCCACGTTTCCCTCTCTTCTCACTTCACCAGGACATTACTTTGTACAGTTTTAAATCCTGACTATTTTATGACTGTAGATAATACTCAGTAACCTAATAAACTTTATTAAATATTGCTTGGTGATGGTTTTTATTCGCATGAAACGATCAGATTTCCTTATGCTTGGTTTCTCCATGAACAGTGAGCTTATTCCCAGGAATCCTGCCCAGGCAGGCAAAGCAAGGGCTGTTGTGGCCTTATCTCTGCTTGGAAGAATAACAGTTCAAAGCTGGCATCTGAAAGGTGTGTACAGATGGAGGGCAAGGTGCATTGGTACAGGATGGTAAGGTGTGGTAACCTGAGATTTTTGGGCAGTTGCCACTATTGCCTAAAAGATGGAGTTTATTAAAGTCCGTGATGAGACAGCAGCCTTGGTTTCCTGGTTTAACTTGGTTTACAGCTGATTTATTGCATCATACTCCTTTTTGTATTCAATATAAAATAGATTCAATAGAGTTTCCCTCCTACATTACAGCAAATGACTTTTCTTCTTTCAGAAAAGAGGTTTATAAGTAAATCCCTGACTTCTTATTTTATGTTGATACCTGACATTTTTCTTAGGGAGGTGGTGGATAGAAGACAACAAAATAAAATGGTGAGGGCTAGAGGGATCCCTGGCCAGAAGAACAGCACAGTTAATTACAGAAGGTGCTGTGGAAGGTTAAGCTGAGTGTTGGGAGTCATTCCTGTGTGCTTGAAAAATGGCTGATTGATTTCAGTGTGTTCTGGGAAACTTCCTCAGGTCATGAACTGGATTTAGCTCGTGTTACTTGGTATTGGTTTTCAGTCACTCCCTACCCACTGCTATAAGTTGCTCTGTTTTCATGTATTTTTGGGATCTGTTTGCATGAGACTTCACTCCTGGGCCGTGAGGAGAGGTGGATTATTTTGTTTGTGGAATACAACCTATTTGCTTCCTGGTTGTGCCTTCAGTCTCTTCCACCTCCAGCCTGTGCAATGCAGAGATGCTCTCAAATTGTGTCAGCAGGGAGGTTAAGCTGCCCCAAAGTGACTGAAAGTGTGATGACATGGTAGTTTTCTCAATGATGATGAAAAGTCTCTCCTGTTCACACACTTTTTTGTCTTCCCTGCAGCTACCAACTTCTGTGTGGAAACCAAACCATTTAATCAATTCACACATACACTGCAACTTGTGAGGTTCAACTGAAGCTTATGAACTGCTGAATAATGGTGCTGTAGGGGGAGATCTTAAAAAAAGGCAGGTAGTTTCTTTCCTCTTGTCTCCAGCCAGGGCAAGATTTATTTTTTTTTATTTTGGATGTTTTGCATGTGGGACAACCACGTGATTAAGGCAACTGTTTGTAGATCCAAAGCCTAAATATCCATTGTATTCAATAATCACCACTTCTGGTTGCTGCAGGTAGTGGAAGACTTCAATGAGATACTTATTTTCTGCCTGTTTCTGACCAAGGCTGGCTTCCCCTTTACCTTGCAGTGGAAGGCTGCCTGTGTGTCACTGGGAATGTGGCTGGAGGGGTTCTGGGACAGCAACAGGCTGGGAGGGTGCAGAAGGTGGGGCGGGTGCAGAAAACTGAGAAATTAGTTCATGCTCAGCTCCAGACACCCAAACAGGCTTGTGTTCCAGCTGCATGGAATATTTGAAACAAATGACCTGCTCAGGGCTGGGAGTCTGCAGTGTTTATGTACAGTGCCATGGCAACAGTGGAGGAAGTCATGGGATGGGGATTGGACCTGATGGAATCAACAAATGATATCACAGATTAGCAAGTCCTAATAAATCAGTGGCTCTCTGCTCCCCTGCTATTAGTGCCTGTATCCAAGCACTGGCACTGTGGCAGGGAGATCTCTGCCTTTTTGAGTAGCAGTAAAAACTGCAAGCCCTGCTTGTATCAGGACTGCCTTGAAAACCAGCCCTGTTCCACTGGCCAGCACCTCGTCCTCCTGCTGCTGCTGAGTCATCACGTTTACGCACATGGAACCATTCCTACATTTTATAGGAGGCTTCTGGCCTTGCCTGTGCTACAGCAGTGCTGTGATGATTCTGCAGAGAACCCTGGTGTTCTAGACAAGCAGGGGAGTAGCTTTTGTTTCTTCCTGGAAGTTGAGGTGTTGGTGACAGTGATTTGAGTCTGGAGAAGTGTGCAAGAGGGGAAGTGCTCAGTGGAGGAGTCGATAAAGAAGCAGGTCGTGCTGCTTCAGCAGTGTTGTCGTCGTTCCTTTCACAAAGGGAAGCCTGTACTGGGTGCAGGTTGCACTCCTGCACACATTTCTGCCAGCCAATATTCCTGTTGTGGATCTTCACCAAAGCTATGACAATGTCAGGACAGAAAAACTCGGGGGGGGGGGGAAGACGGTTGCCAATTCTCTCCTTTATCTGCAGAACCGAGAAATTCTTTCTGAGCTCAGCCAAGTTCCCTGTTGGAGCCCAGCTGCCAGTCTGTACCTGTCAAGTCCTTTGCCAGAACCAAGGCAGTTTTCCCTGTGCCTGAGATGTGTCAACTCAAAAGGATGTGCGTCATGCTTTTAAGAACTTATCTTGGCAGTCACACCTTTTCTACTGCATAAGGTAAGACAATTATGAAAAACATTTCCTAGCACACTGCCCCTCTTCTCTCCACGTGCTTCCTATGCAGAGCTAATGCTGTTGATCTTATGCCAAAGACTAAGTTGTGTTTGACTGGAGAAGGAAATACATGGTGATTTATTTAGTATAAGTTTATTAAAATTAAAAACCTAACCCAAAGCACAGCCTTTCTTGGCTTACAAAACAGTGCTGAGGGGAAACAAAACTCATTCAGTGCTTGCACAAAACACACTGGAGCACTGATCCTGCCTTTGCACATGTTTTGATTCGAAACTATTGCAGGCTTGTCTGCCCTTCAGACAGAAAACTATTTGAAGCAGCTGCCAGATGTTTTGTCTGCCCCGTGTGTTACAGTTTGCTTACTGCTGAGCAGTGCTCTTCCCATCGGGTGCTCGAGCTGCCCTTGGGAATCTTGTTCCTGTGGCACCTCCGTGCTGGTTTCCCACCCCTTTGCCCTGGTCACGTTCTCACAGGGCAGGTACAAGTCTGAGTGTTTTACTGCAGGGCTCGGTGTCTGCTGTGCAATCTGCTGGCCTCGGCTGGGACCTTTGCTGGGACTAGCACAGACCAGCCACATTCCTCTGCTCACATGTTGCCACAGTGTGTAAAAGTTAAGGTGATTTACAGTCTCTTATAAAAGCACTCGGGGCCTGAGTTTAGGCCTTGCTGAACAGCCTTACCCTGAACACCCACAGTTCAGGGCCTGGGCAGCCTGGTTGACTGGCTGTGACTTAGAGCTGAGTTATAAATCTTTTTCCCCCCTATAAGATGGGTGATAAATTCTGAAATACAGTGAAGTGGAGCAAAGACCTTTGTGTTTTTCCAGAACTGTGACAAATTTAACTCAATCAGAAGACGTACCTGCTCAACAGAGATACCTTGAGAATTCCTGTGTGTTTGCCCAACTGTTTCACATTGTTTGTGTAAAACACACGTTATTTGTTTAAAATACAAATTTTCTGTGTAAAATTTCTCAGCTGGGAGCAGTCCCCTGTGCCATCATGTTTAGAAGCACACGTCCTTGGCTTTCTGTGCTTCTGCACCACTGGTAGTCCTGCAAAACCACATCTATACATCTTAGGGCAGAGTCCTCATTAAAAGGGGTTTAACCTGCAATTTTTCACTTTGCTCAGACTTCTATCTTTTAGTAATCAGAGGGCTTTTACCCATGCTTTTTGGGCACACATTGCATTTGCCTTTAACTGTTCTGCAGTCAACAGCTTATGGCCCAGGGTCTGCAATGGTGTTGGGTGAGATGTAGGCCAAGAAATAGGTGCTACTTCTGGATACCCTTCTCCATAGCACCTTGTTTGTCCTGAGGAACCCCATAAATGACTCTTCTTACCAGAGTCTTGTCATTGTTCCCTCTCACAACCTCTTGTTAAGCCATTAACTATTATTTAGGAGCGCCTAACAAAACTTTACTGTCTAAAACCTGCATAAGCAAACAGGCTCTCCAGCTGATTATTATAAAGGGTACATGGGCAGGCAAGAAACACCTGCCTAAGCTGGAGTCTCATAGGACACAGGTGTTGATATTTTTTTTCCTTTTATTAAAACATACTGAGGGTTCCCCAGAATGGAAATGGGTCTGAACTCTTTGTTCTCTCACTTTTCCCAAAACAGGACCTTTGGGAGTGCAGAACATTCTCGTAGGCTGCAGGTAAAATGCCATCCACTGAACCAGTAACCTAATTTCCTGCAACAGGCTGGATGTTTTCTTTGGAAGAGGACCACCTAATATTGATAAGGTCTGTTCCCACTTAATCTGAGGTCCAACAGAGAGACTTGAGAAGTAACAGCTGTTACTCCTAAATATGATCTGTATTTTTCAAACTGTCTAGACACCTGGGTGGGTTGCACACATTACCAGCAAAGCTAGTTAATCATGTCAAACGTTTTCTTTCTCTAAAGGTTTGTTTTGTTTAATGAGCTATATGGAAACCCAGGGGAAGACAGTGAATCAAGCAGACAAGTGAGGAAATTTGATCACTGACACTTGGACATTTTTCATTCTGACCTGGTATAGACAATGCACGGATTTAAGGATTTCAGAAGTTATTGGCTGTGGTGGTTGATAACACCACTGACACAGTAAACCCTTAAAACAGTGAGCTGGGTGGATGTTTCCCATGTGCTCTCTGTGAAATGCTGTTAAATGAAAACTGACTGAAACTCTGCTGCACAATAGGAAGCTACAGCAATGAAAATTACATTTACAGGATGCCAGAAATTTAAGTTTACAATTGATTTGTAAAGGAAAGCCTAGAAGAAGGAGCACTCAGAATCCTTATGATACATCCTACTTGGATAAATACAAATGTTTTCGATAAATACAAATGTTTTTGATAAATACAAATGTTCTCACAGATGCCAGCTACCTATTCCAAAGTACGGTGCTGTGTGATAAGATCCTTTTTATTAGGAAGGAAGGAAGGTGATTCTTCATATGCAGTCTGACATTTTTATTTGCATTTTAAAAAATAGTCAGAAAAATGCAAATAAGCCTG